TGCTGTGGACAGTTCTGGGCTCCTCAGGACAGGAGAGATGTGGAGCTCCTGGAGCAGGTCCAGCGGAGGCTATGGAGATGATGAAGGAACTGGAGCATCTCTCACAAGGACAGGCTGAGGGAGCTGGGGCTGTTCAGCCTGGAGAACACACTCAGAGGGAATTCATCAGTGTCTGTCAGTGCCTGCAGGAGGTGTCAGGGTGGATCAGCTCTGCCCAGTGGTGCTCAGCAATGGGACAAGAGGCAATGGGCAGGAACTGATGCCCAGGAAGTTCCACCTGAACATAAGGAAGAACTTTTTCCATGTGCAGTGACCAAGCACTGAATAGATTGTCCAGAGAAGTTGTGGATTCTCCCTCACTGGAGATATTCCATCTAGACACAACCCTGAGCCATGTGCTCTGGGCTGGCCCTGCTGGAGCAGGAGGTGGGACCAGTGACCCACTGTGGGCCCTTCCAACCTCACCCACCCTGTAACTCTTAGCAACAACAGAAAAACCATAAATATCATCTTTTAATGGTGATAAAGAAACCCCAATGATTTTACCATATATGACAGAAAATTCTCATGCTAACAAATCTTCTACAAGGACAATAAGGCACATTAACAGTATAAAATTACAACTGGTAAGATCAGCCAGAGACAGAGAACCAACAGCACACAGAGATTAGACACCAGAGCTGATGCAGGACATGACTAATGACAAAACAAAACTTTCCCCACAAACATTTGGGCAATGACCCCAACAATGAAAGAGGAGCTGATGGCAACACCTCTCTCCCTATGGTGGGCACAGGGCAAGGTCCCTGTGAGCAAACACTCACCCAGCATGGAGTGATGGCACAGAACAAGAGCTCTCCCAGTACCCTGAGGTCCACCACCCACCTGGGGAAGTGCTGCACCTTGTCCTCACTGCACAGACCAGTCACATCAAAAATAAGGGGATTTTTCATATAACCTTTCCACACTGGATTCCAATAACACAAACTATTGTGTAACAGGTTAGGTCAACCAACCCATGGGATCTGTTCCAGTCCTGAGGTCCTGTTTGGCTGAAAAAGCTACTCCAGGCAAAGTTTGCCATTTTGTTTGTTCTGCAAAAGATGATGTCAAATAGCTACAATTACTCTGGATTTCAAATGATTCAGTAAGTCACACCCTAGAACATACCAAGGCACCAGAGCTGACGGTCAGGGACATGAGGCTAATGACTCAAAGCATCATGTGCTTTCCAGAAGAAGTGACATTTTTACCTCTCCTTAATCAAGTTTCAGATACACATAAAATCTACTTCTTTAAGTAAAAAAAATAAAAAAAATCAGACAAAGCTTGGACCCAAGTTTAGCAAATTGTGCTTCTTATCTTCATGTGGAGTCTTGAGATCACCTGGGAGTCAAACCAAGAGCCAAGTGCTTTCAGAGCTGGAGTTCAAATACTTCTAGTAGCAAATTTACCTCAATGGAGATTTGATTCTCCATCCAAGGCTGAACTGCTTTGTGTATTTGCACATTAAAAAAAGCACCAATTTGCCTTAGCTTATAGAATCTCTAGAAAATAAACTAGAAAGGTACTAATTATGCTATGAACTAAGTACATATATTAAATATTTGCCATTTTCCCTAGCCAGAGGCCTCACTTTGAGCAAGAGAAAAAGCAAGACTCGGAATTGTTTCCACTTCAGAAAGAATTTGACTGAAATAGCAAAGATCAGGTTGATTCTCACATGAGCAGTTGATCCTACAAAGGCTTAGAAACATGATGACCCAATGCAAGGAATTCCTGGGACTTACCAAGGTCATTCAAAGTGCAAAGTCTGCACTAAAGACATGACTCATTTTGGCTATGCCAGCAGAGAACTGCAAAGTGTGGAGAGTTTCATCAGTACTAAAGTCTCATAACAGCATCCTACACTGAGACTCAGCAGAACAAACTAAGCTACACAAAGCACCTTACATGGCATGAGCAGCAGGTGAGTGTGTCACAGCTTCACTGACTTAGCCATGTCAGTACAAAAAAAAACCAAAAATGTAAATTACATCAAGCATTTAATCACTTTTCCAAGAAAAAAAACCCCAAACAAACAAAAAACCAAAACCCAACCCACAAACAGAAAATAATGCCCTGAAAGGTCTGTATCTACCTGAAGAGTTTCACCCTCAACCTTCCCAAGAGAAAGTACCTTCCTTCTCTGCAGCCCCATGGGGACACAGCACCACTGTGGCAGTTCTGCTGCCCTGGCTGGGAGAGCCATGTGTAGGCTGAGGTTAAAATCTAGACAGAAATAAATTAGCATGAGACCAGAAATCCCTTCCACATGTAGTTCAGGGCAGTGACTCATGCAGCAGCACTGAGAAGGAACCAGGTCCTGTGTTGTTATTCACTTGCTATGGAGAAAGGCACAAGGCTGCACCAGCCTCAGAACAGGCACCTCCAGGTTAATCTGCCATTCCTGGGCAGCACAGCTACTCCTGCAGCTACACAAACCCTCTCCCAGCCCCACAGCAGGCTGAGGCTCCAGCACACACACAGTGATGCTCTCCCACCAGCTGCCCAGAGCCTCCTTTCTCCCAGTCCCAGAGGACTGGTGAGGTTCTGGGGTTGTTTGGCATTCTCTGTTCAGGACCTTTAGCCTTACCAAAAGTTCTGGCATGAAACCTGAGCAGCAGGTCACACCTAGTAGCAACCCACCCAAAGGCAATGATGATCCTATTTACAGTCAATCCTGTGCAATGTCTTGCAGCAAAACACAGAGAAGCATCAAGGAGGAGGAGGTTAGTCTTGCAGATGGAGCTGCAACAGCTTACAAGGAAACCAGAAGCACTAAATCACACAAGACTAAGCTGGCAGAGTCATTATAAACCCCAAAATAAGCAGCATGTGCCCCACTGCAGTGCCTTCCCCTGTGGTGTGAAGTGGCCTGGAAATGGTTTGTGTGTCAAAACACTCAGACAAGTGAAAGCTTCATTAGTGCAGCTGCCACCTCAGGAGGAACTGACACCACTATCTACAGCAGCAATAGACGTGGGAAAAAAAGAGCCTGACATTTAGCAGGAGGTTGCTAAAGACCTTTCCAGGAATCTTTAGCAAAGCTGAGACTGCGACTGTTAATTTCCATAACGCTGTGTTGTAGTCATTAATGAATGTGCTACTGATCTCTTAATTCTTCATTTGCCCTGATAATTGCTGATTAGTACCTTTGGGAATGGAGACAAATGATTTATACCATCTTCCAGTCTGGCCTGGGGTTCTGGAGTTGCACCTGGGAGGGACCTTCCTGTTCCAGACAGATGCACAAACCCAAATCCAATTGTTGTCAGAGTCTCTTTGCCTATGGTTTACAGAACCAGCTGTGAGGTAGGGATGGGAGAAGGCACAGAAGGCAGATTTCCCCTGAAAAAATCTGCTACATGCTTCCCACTGTTCATTTAAAACAGTGGGAGGCAGAAGAGACCTTAGCAGGACAGAATCCAGGAGAATCACTAAAGCATAACTGGAGATACATAGAAAGAGCTGCTGCATCCATCCCACAGCAGCAAAAGGCATATTTTACACACACACACATACATATATAGATGTGTGTGTATGTAAAATATCAGGATATATTTCTATCACAAAATGTTTCACAATTTGTATCACATTTTATGCCTTTTTTGACGCCTGACATGTATTTTTGGATGATCAAGGATGAGAATATTGTCAGTATGCAGCACCTTTCCCTTTCAAGAGCTGTGAAGCACCTGCAATTCAGACTGTAAACTCCCCTGGAGAAAGCATCCTCCTCCAAGGATGTGCTGTGTGCTATGTATAGCTGCTACTCAGGAAAACCCTTAATCTCTGTGTTCTGTCCTCACAATTGCATTCCACTGCTGCAAGCAAAGAGAACCTCCTCCTACCTGGTGCTTGTACCCAGCACTAAGAACAGCCACTCTTCACTCTTCTGCACATTTAAAACCCAAGTTAGAAGTTCTATTTGCACTAATGTGGTGAAACAAAAGTTCAGCAAAGAATTTCTCTGGCTCCTTTCTCAGTAACTGTATTCTTGGTCTGCATTCACACACCAAGTCTGTGTGACATAGACACATCTAGGCAGATGTTGGACAATCTATTTGGCACTTTTCACTTTGGTGCCTGTGATTCTGTTTGGTTTATAAAACTGCCTATAAGGGGCTGTTTTCTGTTGAAACTCAAGAACTAGACATTTTCCATATCTAACGTTCACAGTCCTAAAGAGTTCCTAAATATTAGGAAAACAACTGACTGCCCACAAGCATCAATCACACTCCTAAACAGTCACCATTAAAATCAAGCCAAATAGATAACATTTCCATAGGCACATAGAGGCATGTGGAAAAATAAGACATCCATGCCCCTGTGGCCTGGCTGCATCAGGAGGCAGTGCCAAAGCCTCTGGAGGTGAGAGGTGCTTGGTTAGAAGCTACTCATTAAGATCTTTCAGTGCATATTTAGATGTGATTTATCTCCTCCTCTCAAACTCAGGGAGATTACAAAATCAATCACTGCACAGTAAAGACAGGAGCAAACATAAGGGTGGGGTGAAGAAAAAGCAGTGCCAGAATGAGGGACAAGATATGAGTTGCCTCATTCTTTGGCTGGACAGGGTGTCTGGATGACTTCAAAAATCCCACCCCATCCATGAGGACGGGGATGTAATTAAAAGACTTCAATGCTGCTGATGAAAACTGAAGAGTGGAACTGAGACACAGAAAGGTCAAGAGAGAAGAAAAATGAGATGAACAACCTTATGAAATCTCTTAGATTCACAGATTGGCCATAATCAAGCCCAGAATTGCCTTCATTCAGTACCTCCTATTGAATCACTACACCTGGCAGGCAAATGCAAAGCATCCAGAGAGGCTGCACAGCAACCAGAGTGCTGACCACCACCCTGCCCTTGTATCTGAGATTATGTCCTTGCATAGCCATGCAGACCCACAGACACTTTCTCCCAAGCTTTGCTCCACCTCACTGCCTTTCCACAGCTAGTTCTTTGCAGCACTGGTCCCACCATGCCCCTGCACACCCAACGCAAAGTCCACAGCCTGGTGCACACTGTGGAAGAGAAGGTGGTCCTCCCCCTCCTTGAAAAATTCTCCTCTGATCAGGGAGCTCCTCACTGAGGGATTGCACTGGGCCAGGAGAACCTGCACATCTATCTCCTCATAGTCCTTGCAGACCTCTTTGAGCGTGCGGATTCCTGCCGTGTCCAAAAACTGCATCGCGCAACAGTCAATCACTATGGTGTGAAACCCCAGAGGTTCTGCCACAAAATCCATGTTGATGCTGGTTGGGTTGTCACCAGAATGCATCTCCTTCTCTCTCAGCATTCTTTTTGCTGCCTTTTTCTTTGCTGCCTTCACCCAGACTGGGTTGACCCCAGTTTGCTTGTAGAGGGTGGACTTGAAGCACTCCTTGTTGATGTAGTAGAGAGGTGCTTCGAAACGGAACACCACGACTCCTGGCTTGGTTTGCAGGTTCTTGTAAGCAGCCAGGGATTCGTAGGTCTCAGACTCTGCCACCCAACCAAGCAGTGGTGCCTCTGGCCTCTGCGTCCTGAAAATGACACAGAGCATTGAGAAGCAAACCCCAACCAGCAGGCCAATCTCGGTGCTGATGAGTGCCGTGGCCACCATAGTGACCACCCAGATCACTGTGTCCACTCTGCTCAAGTGCCACATTTTTGGCAGGTCCCTGAACTTCCTCAGGGCTCCTCTGAGGTTTACAATGGTTATGACAGCAAGGACACATTTCTGAAGGGAATAAAACAAAGGTGCAATCACAAGGAGGACTAAAAGGATTACCAAACTAGTCACCATGCCAGACATCTGTGTCCTACAGCCTGTGGACTCCTTGACAAGAGTCTTGGCGAGAGCTGCGCTGGTGGTGAAGCAATGGAAGAAGGAGGGGATGATGTTGCAGAAGCCTATGGCATACATCTCCTGGTTGGCCCTCACAGAGTAGCCATGCTTCTTGGCAAACATCTCAGAGAGGGAGACGGTGATGGCAAAGCCGATAATCGCGATGGGGATAGCGTCCAGAGCCACATTGGGAATCAGGTTCCAGTCTGGAGGACGAGGTGGCAGAAACCCAGTTGGGATGTGTCCAGCAATGCTGGAGCCATAAGTCTCTTTCAGCTTCCCAAAGTGAGATGCCAGAGTAGCTGCCACAACCACAACCAGTTCAATTGGTATTGGAGCCTTGAGCTTGGATTTGAAGTGTTCATTAAGCTCTTTGGCTGGGATAAGCACAAGGAGGCACAAGAAGCTGGTGATGAGGTCACAGATGTTGGTCTTGTGTATGTTTTTGAAGATGTTTATCCAGGTGGTTATGAGCGAGCCGACACCACCACTCCGTGGAATGTCTAGGCCCAGGAGGTACTTGACTTGTGAGGTTACAACAGTGAAGGAGGCACCTGTGACAAATCCACTCAGCAGGGAATCGGAGAGGTACACCGAGACAAAGCCCACTTGAAAGAAACCCATGGCCACCTGGAAGGAATCAACCACACACACCAGATTAGGACACAAACCTTGTGGATGTCATCGGTGTGAGGCTCTGGAGGGAGCTGGGATAAAATAAACCCACTGTGCACAGCCCTGGAGGACAAGGCATGGTCTGAGCATGGAGAAAACATCCTCCATCATTTGGAGAAGGCTTTGTCTGTGGGTTTTCATACTCTGAACCTGCTATTGTTTGCTCACTGGTTTAACTGTAGCTGCTAGTTATCCTGGTGGGAAAAAAAGAGAAAGCCTGGACAAAACCCACCACATTTGAAACACTGCTCTTGTCATTTCTCTCTCGAGTTCTTATAGTCCCTGTGAACTTTGGAGGAATCTAGAACTTTGCTGGAGGCCTTTGTCTGTCTTTCACTGGAGTTCAGAACCTTCAATAAATTAAAAAAACAGCTTATCGCCTCACTGGTGTCCTTGGCACTGCATGAAGTTTAGTGCACCTGACTCAGAAAGTATATGAGGTGCAAACTCCTGTGCTGCAGATCATATAAAGAGAGATAAAAGTTCTTAAGTGTCTTGTCATTCAGTTTCATTAATGTTAGCTGAGTGGACAAATCTCCCTCATGGAGGGTTTTATGGATATCTACTCTACATGTGAGTCTCCACACCTGGGAAATGTCCTTTCCTCCCCATCAAACCTCATGCCAAATGGAGCATGAACCTTCTCACAGCAGTTTGCTAGGAAACTCTTCATTCCTTGTGCTGGCTAACACAGATGTCCACACTGGTATCTGAGGACTGCAGATAACAGGACTTAGATATAAACTTTCAGAGGTGTCAGTTTGATATATGCCATTAGGTAGTTAAGGCCAAACTAAGAAGGCTGAGATCATGACTGAGAACTCCAAGGAAACCTCAAGGTACTGCTTAAGAGAAGGCAGGTTTGGGACCTGCACTGACTGGACATCAGCTCAGAGCCAAGCTGGAGAAAAACCTCCCTCACAGCCTTGGTAATTAAGTTAATTCAAGGTTTTTCTAACCTTGATGTAAAACATTAACAATTGGCTTACCTAGTCAGGCTGTAGGCAACTGGTGTGAGAAACTTGCTTTTTGTGACTTGATTGTGAAGTTTCTGACACAAAGAAGATGTGATTTTGGTTGAAGCTTCCAAAGAAAGAGTATTTGAGAGTGTGAAGACCTACTGGTTTTGATGCAGAGGCAGCAAGTGGAATATACCTAACATTCAGAGGGACTGAGGATAAAGTAATCTGACTTCTTCATGTAAAGAAATTAATTGCACTTGTAAAGAACATTACATGCAATTCACAACTCCAAAACTGTATCCATCCTACAGGGATGGGAACCAAACTCCAGCACAGCTCAGAGGCCCAGAATATTTCTGAATTACTCAACATGAACTTGCAGTACAAGAAAAACTCCCAGGCTGTGTCCAAACCCAGTGTTTTAGAATACCACAGGCAGGTTTCCTTTCCCCTCTCACACAGTGTGATTAGCTATCACCCAGTTAAGAACAAATGAATGTGAACTCACAGACTCAAATTCCACAGCTCTGCAGTGCTGTTAAAACTAACCCCATTCTGACACATTGAAGCCAGAGTTACCTGCTTTAATCTCAGCAAGCACTGAAACTAGTAAAATATTGGCAGGCAACATATTTTAATATGGCAGTAATTAAAAGGTTCACTACAAACTCATTTTATCCTCTCAAGGGTATCCTTTCCACACAATGGCATTGGTGTGGCTTTGGAAGGGCAAACAGCAAAGTTTTACAAGTCTAGTGACAAATCAAAAGAAACTGGAGACACTTTACTGTCAAAACTATTTTGTGTTAAGAGGCAAATGATTAAGCCTGGAATTAAAAGCTGACACACCACACTTTGGCCCACTGAAATGAGAGGGGTAGGCCACAAGCTAGCAAAGAGAGAAAAATAAAGCTTCAGGCCACAGTGAGGAAGGTGATGAGCTGACAGAGCAGTAGGTGGTTATGTGCAGGTCCTACAGTCCCCAGCAGAGTAGTAACACAAGCACAAAGTGCTGTTCAAACCTGGAGAGCACTCAGAGGAGTTTCCTGCACCACAGGAGCCTCCAGCCCTCCCTGAGCTGCAGATTGAGGACACTGTGTTCCTGTGGACAAGCACCTCAAGAAGCATGAAAACAATTCCCACAGCATACCTGCTTGTCCACCTCCTCTTACCTGATAAACTCCAGCTATGAAGGTCATGGTGGTTCCCACTGCGATGGCATAGCAGCTTTTGTCACACAGCAGCTCCTGCGAGGTCTGGTTGAGTGGCCAAGAGGTGGTGTTGGCATGCACTGCCATCCCTGGGAGGGTGCTGAGCTCCAGGTCATACCCAGCTCTCTCTACTTCACGATCCACCACCTGTCCCACCATCAGGCAAATGACACCAAAGATGCCAACTGAGATGTGCCGAGATGTGCCGAACAGGCAATAAATAATGCTGGCAAAAAAGGATGTATAAAGGCCATAAATTGGCTCCAGCCCAGCCAGGAGAGAATAGGCTATAGACTGTGGGACCAGCAAGACTCCCACGATCACACCAGACATTATGTCCCCCAGGAGATACTCCCTTAGTTTGTATTTTGGAAGCCACTGTAAGATGGGAAAGAACCCGAAAACACAGTCTTTAACTTTGGCTGGAGTGCAGCTGCAAGTTTTCTTTGCTTGCTTAACCACCAGAGCCTTCATGCTCCTCTTCTTCTCTTGGGGTTCCAAGAACATTCTGTGATGGAAACTACATTTAGCATCATCTCCTTCTGGTCCTTCAGTCACTGAACGGACGTTGTTGGCCTCTGGCATTGCTGCCATGGCAAGGACTCACTGAAAACACAAAGAATCAACTGCATTAGAATAGAATCATAGAATATGAAGGAATGGGTTACATGTTTAGAGAGTGAACACAATGTTTATGATAAGCAAGGGCTTAGTTCAGCACAGAGAAAGCAATTGGGAAGCAAACTGGGAAAGAGCCTCCCCACTGTGTCCTGTTAAGCACAGATTCACCTGTGCTGGAGGGAAGAATGTACCTGCTGCTGGCAGTGTTGAGAAATGGAAAGGAATGCTTCTCTGGGACACTTCCTTGGGAAAGTCTCTGTCTGCAGCCTGTTCCTCCACACACAGACAGACAGAGGGTTTATTGTAACCCAACAGTCTAGCAATGCACAGCTTGGTCTAAATACCTTGTTATTTTATTTTTTAATGCAGTGATTTCACCTACTAAACACTGTAAAGATCTGTTCCCTAAGAAGTGGCTTTGTTTCAGCCAATGCCACAGCGCAAAAAAAAAGAAAAAAAATGCTCTTTACACTTCTAAAAAGCTGTTTTTTCAAGTAGGTATAGGTATACTTGACCAAAACAATACACACAAGTGGAAAACATTCATGGGCACAACAAAAAGTAGTTGGATCACTTCTGCTGGAACATGTTCTCTAGTCCAAGCTGCTTACAGTGAAACCAGGTGATCATATCAAACCATGGACATGGAAACTTATTGCCTGTGTGAAAGGGCAGAGTCTTGATGAGACAAGCCCTAATGAAATTTGACAACTGCAGAATCCTCCAGCAAATTCAGCCACATTATCCCCTACTACTGCATCAGAGTTGGTAAGTTTCTGCTAGAAACTCACTCACCTGGGGCTACAGTGGAGAGACAGCAGGAGAACCCCAACAACTCACTCACCTGGGGCTACAGTGGAGCCAAGGTGAGAGACAGCAGGAGAACCCCAAGAGGTCTCACTGCCAAGGCTTCCCTGCCTTGCAGTCCCTGAGTGCCAGCAGCAACACATCTCTTATGTGCTGCTTATGCCTCCTCTGTGCAGCACAAACATCACCCAAACCACTGTCTACACTGTTCATTCATTCCCACTGAATGAATGACCACACTGGTCCTGGGACTAGCAGTGCTGAGGATCCCAAAGAGTCCACCCAGAACTCTATATACACATTTTTAGGACTCATTTTTGGAATGTATTTCTTGGTCTCTACATTTTTGTGCCAGACAAGTCAATCACTTAGTACAACAGAAGGTAAGAGAAGAAAGCTTCAAGTTTTGCCTGCCTACCTACCTACCTTCTTGATTATTCCAAACTCCATCTTCCATCCTCCTGGCCATAAGGAATTCCTGTTTTACATACCAGATACACCTTGTAACAACGAACTTCGCTTGACCAATGCTTTCCAATTCAGGACCTTTAATAGGAGTAAACATGCACAGCAAGAAGTGACATGCTCAAGATGATTTAGTGATGGTGCCTGGAGGAGAACCCACCCCTATCCTTCAGGTATCTAACCTCACCTACCTGTACAGTACTGCAAAATGCCCTCAGGGATGATTTACAGCACTTACAAAAAAAACCAGATATTACACAGTGAGGATGAAGTGAATAGCACAAAAGCTTCTGTTAGCTGTACTCTTGTGACATACAATTTCTCAGCAACTTCTCTGGGTCTCTACAACTCTGCACTGGCACATTCTGTAGCTGCATTTGCTCCAGAAGTTTTACTCATTTCACAAGCAGAGTTACAAATCAAAAAGCTTTTCACCCATCCTAAGCTCAGCAAATCCATACTGTAAAAGCTATAGAGGAAAAAAAAAACCCACAGAGTATTTTTTCAGTGTAGTAAATTACTTGGATGAGTTTGTTTTCTGAGAGTTTAGTCATGAAACCCCTTGATTCCACTCTGCCTCTTCCAGGACTTGTAGATAGCTCACTCAAACCTGGTTTTCTTAACATGCCAGGGAACTCCAGACAGCTCAGTTTAGTTCTGCTGTAAAACATCTGCATGGTAGAAGATGCCCAAGTTTCAGTTGTGTCTAGACAGTAGAGAAATGTTCTAAGTCAAAACCTTTTTGGCTACTAAACTCTGAGCATATAGTGGGTCTTTGTGTTGACTTGCTTAACAACTTTCTCTACGTGGCATGAAAAGAGCCTTTCATCACACAGTCCCTGCCTCTCATCATGTCAGGACACAAGGAAATGACACAATTTCCAAAACACATTTCACCCTTTTCTACCTCAAACTGTTGCTCTGTATTATTTTTTGCAACCGTTAGTCCAAGCTCATCTAATTCAACTAATTAAATGTTCTCAAACATTAAAAAAAAACCTCAAAAAACCCCCAGATAAAATCCATTTGGTACAGTGGTTAGGACACTGAAGGATATTCTGTATATTAAACCTGGAGAAGGAGCTACTGTGGTTTTTATTTTGAAAGCTGCCATTTACACACCACTAATTTGTAAGCCTAGGACTCCCTTTTATCAGCTCCTTTTGGCCTGAGTAATATCTTCAGGGGGTGTCTGGTTGCCACAAACTTTACTTCAGATAAAAAGAAAAAGCCTACAGCACAGAACTGAGGAAATTTCCAGTATCTCTCTGTTATCAAGTGACTGCCATAAAATAAAGATACGAAGAGGTCCTGCAGTTTGGAGATCTGACTTTTACAGACTCTTCCTGGAGCCCATCTGGGCCTTTATGCCTGTGCATAAATACATAGCCTAAAGAGACATGACAGTGCTGACACCGATGGTGATCAATCCAGGCTGGATGAAACCTTGAGCAACCTGACCTAGTGAGGAGGTGTCCCTGCCCAGGGCAGGGGTTGGGACTAGATGATCTATAAGGTCCATTCCAGCCCCTGAATTCTATGGTCCTACAACCAGTTCCTGAAGAGCTGTAAAAGAGAAGCAGGTGAATCAGTAATCCAAGTTCCACCTGGACTAAACCAGAGCTGGGCTAACACCTCTTTGGCCCTTGATCTCCCCCTAAGAGTACAAAAGGAAAGCATTGACAACGTTTTGACAACTAAATATTTGTCCTTACTCCTGCTGGACAACAACGTTTTTCAAATAATGTCTGAACTGTGGTGGAGCAACAAGGAAATTCAATATTGCCACGATAACACCAAGATAAGCACTTGTGCATGCCTTGGAATTCGACAAAATCCTCAACCTCCTCTAACAAAACATTCAAGCCACAAACATTTACTGCAAGAAAGCAACGTGAACACTGAAATCTTACAAAGAGCCATAAAACAACATACAGTCACCACGTCCAAGCGACACGTTTGGGAACAGAAATACCTTACTTTTGGCACAGTAAGCATCAGCCATGCAGGAAAACCTGCAAAGCCAGACCATAAAACCTCGGGTGAAATAGGTGACCTCCTCCTGCTTCCAATGCGAGTTCTCCCGAGCAGCAGCTGCTCCCCAGCCCCAGCCTCGCTGGGGAACATCCCATGAAGTTCTTCTTGCAGTCAGCCCTACCTGGAAAATCGTCTCACCTCTTGGAGAGCAGTGCACACCGACTGAGCTGCTGCTCTGTCCCGGCTGAAGATTTCTCCTGCACACAGTCGGGACAGTTTCCAGCCGAGCCGGATTTGTTACGGGGAGTTTGCTAAGAAATATTTTCAGCAAGTCATCTGCAGGGTCAGACCCTCCTCCCGCCCCTGCCGTTAGCAAGCAGAGGGGGAACAGAGCAGAGCTGTGCTGGGCAGTGAGGATGGGCGGGGGAAACGATGCCCAAAGGCATTTCCTCGGGTAGTGGTTGCCAGCTCAGCCCACGCTGCATGCAGAGCTGGGACACAGCCCAGCCGGGTTTGCTCGGGGAGCAGCGTGCTTGGAAGAATGTTAGCTCCTGAGTGGTTTTTTTTTTTTTTTTTTAAGGAATAAAAGCCCGCAGGAACATACTCCACACGCTGTTTACACTCCCAAAATCGAGCGGGTTTGCTTGTGTGTCGCTTTGTAAGCCTGAACAGCATATAGAGAGAGAAAGGAAGTTAAGAGAAACATTTCACTTTCACCCTGGGAGGGGAAACTCATCGTCTTCACACCCTGCGGCTTCAGTCCCCACGGGGCTCCTTCCTAAGGGGGGTGAGCCAGAGGGGCTGTGAGCCCATCCCCAAGGGGGTAAGAGGCGACAAGCCAGTCCCCAAAG